TGCAGCACGTCACAAGGCAAGGCAAGGCAGGCAGGTACGTGGGGTAGCGCGGTAACCGCAGTGGTAGGTGGGCCCGAAAAAAAAAAAACGGTCCTACGGACCTTAGTGCTCTGAAACCATGTTAGAATCTGACAGCAGGAATGAATTGCATTGATGAAGTGTTGGGTACATAAGCTAACCCTAACATTGGGTTGTACCCCATATGGGCTACCCCACTAGCAGCCTACACAAACACAATATGCATAGTTTGACAGGATCACCAGTGGACCTCTGACAATGCAGCTGTCTGTCGCTCACACGCTGGATGTACCGTGATCAATGCGAAGACAGGGTTATAAGAAGGAAACTTCCGAGAAACTTCCTCTCGACAAGGTCAAGTTCAGAGACTATAGGGTCGATACTCTGCTAAGTCAGGGTCCACTAACAGAGTAGTCTGTTACACTTTACTCTGATTGGATCTGGGTTGAGAAATGAGTGATTATGAAATTTCAGTCTCCACTAAGTGGAAAGTCTGAAATCACCCTAAAATCAGGGTAATTTGTGAAAACTACGAGGCAAGAATGATTGGATTGAAAGAAGCAAGGGTACAAATAGGAAACCCTAGTTGGAGTTGTACCCCATATTGGCTACCCCACTACAGCCTACAAACATATAGCACATTTATACTTTGACACACCCCCATAGGCAAAGTGGGGGAGAGCAAGGGGTCACAAGACCAGTCAAGCAAAGCAAAGAACAAGCTCAGGGTGGATCACAATGTCACCACACACTCCGAGCACAAGCAAAGGCCACAAGGCCAGTTCACATGCTGAGTTATATAGAAGAACACAAGTAGTACAGTGATCAAAGCCTAGCAAGTGCAAGCATGCAAGGACATATATATAGATCACAGTACAAACAAAGTCAAGAAGTAAGCAAGTGAGAGAACGTGGACACAAGGCCTAACGCAGTGCAGTGCCGCTGATGATCACTAGGCGGAAGCGCCTTGGTGAATATATCAGCAGTGTTGGCCTTCGAGTCCACGTACGCAAGGCGAAGCTGGCCACGCTGCTGCAACTCTCGAGCCAGAAAGTAACGGAGAGCAATGTGCTTCGTTCTGTGCTCCAGTCTGTGCTCCTGACACAAGGCAAGAGCTGCCTTGTTGTCGCTGTACAGAACTTGAGGGGAACGACGCCGCTCACCCAGGTCAGTCAGCAGGTAGGTGAGCCAGCGTAGCTCCTGTGCAGCCATGGCCGTGGCGTAGATCTCAGCCTCACAACTGGAGCTGAGAACAGAAGAAGAGCGAGTGGAACGCCAAGAGACAGAACCAGAGCCAAGGCTGAAAGTGTAACCCTGTGACGACCGCTGCGTAGCCAGGTCGTCAACCCAAGAGGCGTCTGAGTGTCCAGTGAGGACAACTGGACCCTGTCCTCCAAGCACCAGCCCCATGCCTGATGTACTACACAAGTAGCGCAGCACCCTCTTAGCAACCTCCTGTGCTCTCGCCGATGTCTCCCAGGTGCGACGGAGCGAGTAAGGATGCTAAGAGGGTACGCAAGGTCAGGTCGAGTGCAGGTCATCAGGTACATGAGGCAGCCCACAAGCTCTGGGTACGGGCCACTCGGCTCTACGGACTCGTCCGAAGGTGGAGCTGAGAGCGAATGGCTGGTAGACAGAGGAGTAGACTGAGGTGAGGAGAACTAGAAGCCGAAGCGCTGAAGGACCTGCTGCACCATGTGTGACTGAGTCAGGGTGATGGTGCGGCGTGCTCTGTCCCGGGTGATCTGCAAGCCAAGGTAACTGCGCAGCTCACCCAGGTCTGTGCACGTGTGTCTCTTCTGCAGCTCCGACTTCACAAGAGCAAGTGCCTCAGTGTCAGCAGTAGCAAAGACCAAGTCGTCAACGTACACGAGGATGTAGAACGGCGGCAGCGACGTGTCTGTGCGCAGGAACAGTGAAGGGTCTGCAGTGGAGGGAGCAAACCCAAGAGCCGCAAGTGTCGTCCTCAGTGTGTCGTGCCACTCACGTGGCGCCTGGCGGGGACTGTAAACTGGCCGTCGGAGGCTCCACTGGGTACCAGGAGGGAAAGACCCAGTGAAGCCAGGAGGACGGCGCAGCCAGATCTTCTCGTGCAGGCTGCCCTGCAAGAAAGCCGTGCTGAAGTCAAGAGAGTGAAGCTCGTAGTCACGCTGAGCGGCAACGTGCAGCAGCACCCGAAGAGTGGTCATCTTCGGGGTAGGGGAAAAGGTCTGGAAGAATTCAACGCCCTGTCGCTGACTGAAGCCTCGAGCGACGTAACGAGCCTTGAAGACAGGCGGAGAACCCGGCGGTCGCTTCACCCTGAAAATCCACATGCCATCGACGATGTTCGCCCCAGGAGGGGGAACCTCGTCAACGTAAGTGCCTATGGACTTCCAGGATGCCATCTCTGCGTCCATGGCTGTCTGCCACTGAGAGGAGTAGGGACCCGAGACCGCCTCTGTGTAAGAGCGGGGGGTAGGGATGTCAAGTGCATCCGGGTCTCCCTCAGGTGCAAGCAGCCAGGCCGTGAGATGAGGTACAGCAGCCGCAAGACAGTCAAGGTCCTCCTGCCTGTCCTCAAGGACGTCCGTGCTAAGAGCACACTCACCCCCGACGGACGGAGGACAGACAGACTCAGACTCAGTAACAAGACTGGCAGTGTAGTCGAGACGACAGGTAGCAGCAAAGTCAACCAGCTCAGCGACCAAGGCAGACGCAGACGCAGACTCAAAGGACGGGTCAGTGACAACAGTGGCTAACAGACGCGTGACAGTAGGGTGCTCAGCACGAAACCGGTCAGACTCAGGGTCGGGAACGTCAGGCAGAGAGGACGCAGGGGGAGATGGCAGAGGAACACGCTGCTGAGTGGGAGAAGGACGTCTGACAACCAGGGGCGTGCTGCGAACAGGCGGCTGTCGCAGACTAGAGACACGACGACCGGAACGACCAGGACGGACAGGCGAGACAGGACGTGACGCAGGCTCACGACGCTCAGTAAGACCTCCTGGCTGCTCAGAGTAAGGAGAAGGAGCAGGCAGTGGTGAGCCAGGCTGTAAGGGAAGACCAGTAGACGACGGGAGACTAAGAACCTGGCGAAGTGCCGAGTCAGACGGTGGCTGAGAAGACGGAGACGGCGGAGCAAAGAACAGACGCCGCTGCGCCGTGCCACCAGCCGCAGCAGTACCAGGACCTCCAGCAGCTCCAGCCCCCTCAGCAACAGCGCCACCAGGACCAGGTCCACTGACAGCAGCACCATCACCCCCAGTAGCTCCAGGACCCCCAGCAGCCCCAGAACCGCCAGCTCCAGCACCTCCAGGACAAACTCCACTAGTAGTAGCACCCCCAGAACCGGCACCCCGGGTCCTAGGGTCTCCAGCAGCAGAACCCTCATGCAAAGCTCCTTCAGCCCCAGCAGCTCCAGTCCCACCAGGACGAGCACCTACAGGACCAGGGGAAGGAACTCCAACACCTCCAGAAGCAGAGCCTCGAGCTCCAGCAGCGCGACCCTGACGGCGCCCGAACCAGTCGTGCAGCTGCTGCGAGGTAAGAGGTACACGCGGACGAAGGCGGTCGCTCCACGGGGACCGCGTCCCAGCAGGCGCAGTAGTCGCAGTCGGCTCACCTCCAGGCCCAGCTCCCCCAGTCTCCACACACACAGGCACGTCACCCCCAGACACAGCACCCTCAGGCGTAGCACCACCAGGCTCCTGACTCGCAGGCTCAGCACCTCCAGGCACCCCACGCTCACGCTCCACACCCCCAGGCTCAGCACCTCCAGGCACCTCACGCTCACGCTCCGCACCCCCAGGCTCAGTACCTCCAGGCTCCGCACCCCCAGGCTCCGCACCCCTAGGCTCCGCACCCCGAGGACCAGCACCCCCAGAGCCAACGACACCTCCAGCAGGACCAGAGTCACCAGTGACCTCAACAGGCGCAGGCACAGGAGGGTCTACCTGAGAAACACCTGAAGGGGCAGGACCTGGCGCGGGAAGGGGGTCTACCTAGGGAGAACCTGGGGTGAGGAAGAGCGGCGGGGGGGCGCGAGGGGAGGTACGGTAGGGAAAGAGACGGTAGAAGGGAACGGACTCGTCAAAGGTGACATCCTGAGACGCAAAGACACGGCGCGAGGCGGGGTCGTAGAACTGCCAGCCAGGCGCGTCAGGAGGAAAACCAAGGAAGACACAGGGAATGGCGCGGGCGGAGAGTTTGTCCGCGGTGGTATCGCGGACAAAGGCACGAGCACCCCAGACCCGAAAGCGCGACGCATCGCCAACCTCCCCCGTCCACAACAGTGTGGGCGAGGTCTCCGGCAAGGAGACACGGGGCCAGAGGTTGAGCTGATGCGCGGCGTAGCGGACCGCAAACGGCCACAGAAAATGGGGGGCAGCTGCATGGATCATGGAGGTACGAGTGACCTCCATGACTAAGCCAATGCGGCGCTCAGCAACCCCATTCTGCTGCGGAGAGGCCGGAAGTGTGAACGTCTGGCGGATGCCGTGCTCCACACAAAAGGCTCGCAAGAGGTCAGAGGAGAACTCACCACCTCTGTCAGAGTGCAGCCGCAGGACAGGACAGGATCCGCTCGCGAAGCTGGAGACGAGCAGCGCGGATCCAGGGGATCAAAACATCAGGGACCTGCCCCTTGCTGCGCAAGGGGAAGACCATGGTGTAGCGCGAGTAGTCGTCGACGACCAGCAGGAAGTAGCGCTCGCGGCCCTGACCCTGGACGCGGGCTGGGCCCCACACGTCCAGGTGGAGCGTCTGCAGCGGAGCCTCTGTGGGAGGGAACGAGGAGGAGTGAGGAGCGGCGCGCTGCCGCCCCTCGACGCAAGGAATGCAGGGTGGCGCAGGCGAGGGAGGGAGTGCAGGCAGGGACCTGGGAAGACCAGAGACCAGACAGCGAGAGTGCATGCCACGCAGGCGAGGCAGGGAGGGGTGACCAAGGCGGTGGTGCCACAGGAGAGTGTCGTGGGACAGGCGGCGGCACTCACACTGGGTGGCTACCTGAGCAGACGCGTACAGCTGTGGAGACAAAGGAGTGTAGCGTGAAACAGTGGTGAGAGTGTAAAGACTGGACCCCGGCTCACGGGTGAACGTGGCCAGGTGGCGGCCAGTCTTGGAGCAGATACAGATCGCCACACGCTGTCCTCCAGGAGTCCAGGTGTCAACCCAGTGATCCTGAAGGACGGCGTTGCTCACCAAGTTCGTAGAGAACGAGGGAACATGGAGACCTGACAGCTCACCAGACGGGACCGCCGGGCACGGAAGCACAGTCGTGGCACGTGCAAGCACTGGGCCCCCAGAGGGGTCAGCCAGCGAGACAGGAACAGGTGCAGGGAGGGGGGTGACTGCGGTGCTGTCGCGAAAGAAACAGCGAGAAGCACCAGAGTCAAGTGTAAACGTGTGCAAAGCCCGCACGGACGCAGTACCAGAGGGGTCAGACGCACGAGCACCTAGGGCTGCAGTCTCTATACCTGGGTCAGGCGGAACGCACAAGTAGCAGTCACCCTCAGCACTAACAGTCAATGCATACATGGCAGCAAGGATTGCATCATAGTCAAGATCATAGACATTGACATCACGCCTAAGCAGCTCGGCCCAGTTGGGGAACTCAGTGGCATCAGGGAACTTGGCGCGCCAGGCGTCGCTGAGGCGCGCAAAGCAACGGGACTCAGGGTGAAGGCCGTTGCACGTGCGGCCCTTGCGAGGGCCAGTGAGAATGACATAGGGGCAGCGACCAGAACCCCCAGACGCCCCACGCCCAGCATACCAGTCATGAAGCTGCTGAGAGGAGGGGGTCTGGCGCTGCTGCTGCTGCTGCTGCTGCTGGCCGGTCCCACTCCCGCCTCCACCACCACCCCCACCACCACCGCCTCCTCCCCCCTTGCCGCCACTGCCACCTCCACCACCCCCACGACCACCTCCACCCCCCCCACCACCCCCACCGCCCCCACCACCGCTCCCCCCACCCCCACCCCCGCCACCCCTGCCCCCCTTGCCGCCCCGGCCCCCGCCGCGCTTCCCACTAGGAGCGGAAGCAGCTGCGACCTTCTCAGCACCAGGAAGGTCAACGGGAGTAGCAACCGAGGCGTACGAGGGGGCGAGGGGGGAGGGGGAGCACCCCTCAAAGAGGGGAGCGCGGGGAGTGCCTCGAGCGGCACCGACAGCTAGGAGATTCTTCTCTGCTGCGAGAAGCTGCCGCTCGAAGTCGTCTAGGGTGATCTCGGGGGCGTCAATGGCGAGGAAGTGGTCCCTGACTGTGCTAAGGGTGTCAGGGAGGCGGGTGACGAGGAGGTAGAGGGTAAAGTAGAGCGGAGGGGGGTTCTTGGCACGGAACTCGTCCTTAAGAGCGGCGTTAAAGTGGGCCTCACTATCGCGAAGGTGAGTAATCAAGTCCGCAGCAGTGGGGAAGGAGGACAGGTCAGGGAACAGGTAGGGCAGGATGAGGCCTCCTACAGCGGCAGTGGCTGGGGAGGAGTAGCGTGCAACTACTGCGTCATAAAGTGCCTTGGCAGTTTTGTGCTGACTGAAATGCGCGCGCTCAGCGATCGGCAGATGGTTGCGGATAGCAAGGCGCGCAGCAGCATCGCGAGTCAGCCACTGTGAGCGGTCTACAGCAGGAGCACTGTCAGCAGGAGTAGCGGCAGTGCCAGTGGCGTAGTCGAAAAGCGAGACACCATCTTTGGCATCAGTCAGAAGGAAAAGCTGCAGATCGTCAAGCCAAGTGGGAAATGCGATCGGGCGACCGTCAGGTTCGAAAGCTAGCACATTCATGGTCGCCATGGCAGCAGCGCAGGGCAGGCAGGCGTAAAGCAGGATGCAGGGGCAAGCAGAGGGCCGGGCGCAGGCTTAGGGGCAGTGCGACGGGCAGGCAGGGGCCGGACGCGGGCTTAGGGGCAGCGCGACGGTAGGCAGGGGGCCGGGCGCAGGCTTAGGGGCAGTGCGACGGGTAGGCAGGGGCCGGGCGCGAGCTTAGGGGCAGCGCGACGGTAGGCAGGGGGCCGGGCGCGGGCTTAGGGGCAACGCGACGGGCAGGCAGGGGCCGGGCGCGGGCTTAGGGGCAGCGCGACGGGCAGGCAGGGGCCGGGCGCGGGCTTAGGGGCAGCGCGACGGTGGGTAGGGGGGCCGGGCGCGGGCTTAGGGCGACGCGACGGGCAGGCAGGGGGCCGGGCGCGGGCTTAGGGCGACGCGACGGGCAGGCAGGGGGCCGGGCGCGGGCTTAGGGCGACGCGACGGGCAGGCAGGGGCCGGGCGCGGGCTTAGGGGCAGCGCGACGGTAAGGTAGGGGCCGGGCGCGGGCCTAGGGGCAGCGTGACGGGCAGGGAAGGGGCCGCGCGCGAGCTTAGGGGCAGCGCGACGGGCAGGCAAGGCAGGGCGCGTGTGGGGCAGCGCGGTAACCGCAGTCAAGCAGGCGTTCGGTGGGCCCGGGAAAAAAAATCGGTCCTAACGGACCTACTGCTCTGAAACCATGTGAAAACTACGAGGCAAGAATGATTGGATTGAAAGAAGCAAGGGTACAAATAGGAAACCCTAGTTGGGGTTGTACCCCATATTGGCTACCCCACTACAGCCTACAAACATATAGCACATTTATACTTCGACATAATTACCCTGATAAAATAGCCCTGGTAATGGGCGCTTGTAGTACACAGCTCAAAGTAGTTAAGGGGAGGCTCATTGCAGCTGTACTAGTTTGAACACAATCTATATTAACTGCACAGTGTACATACCGTAAATCCTCGGATTGTGACAAGACTCTGAAAGGAGTCTGCAATGTTAGAAACTAGCAGCAGGAATGAATGAGTTTGGTACAAGTACTAACCCTAACAGGGTTGTACCCCATATTGGCTATCCCACTACAGCCTACACAACACAATATTCTGACACACCACCATATGCAAGGTGGGGGAGTACAAGCAGTCACAGAAAAGCAAAGCAAGCTCAGGGTGGATCACGAAGTCACCACACATTCCGAGCACAAGCAAATGGCCACAAGGCCAGTTCACATGCAGAGTTGTATAAACCAGTACAGTGATCACCACCTAGCAAGTGTAAGCATGCAGGTATATATATAGATCACAGTACAAGCAAAGTCACGCAGTGAGCAAGTGAGCAAACGTAGGCACGATCCCTAAAGCAGTATAGAGACAAACGCTGATGATCACCAGACGGAAGCGCCTTGGTGAATTAACAACTGTGTTGGCCCGGGTGGCCACGAGAGCAAGACGAAGCTGGCCACGCTGCTGCAACTCTCGAGCAAGGAAGTACCGTCATCGCCCGGATAGTAGACAGTGTTGAATAGTAGACAGGGGTTGTCTATTATCCGGGTGTCTCTTATAAACAGGCTAGCCTCATTATAAGACACCTATTTGTGTGTACGCGTTAAACAAGTGTAGAGGTTAGGGGGAATCGTATAGCGAGGGGGTATCTTCTAAACGGTTCTTTGTCCATTTATAAGATTTATAAGACACCCTAAACCGTCCCAAATACAAGACAACCCAAGCATTTTTGCCCGTGTTCGATATAAGACATATATGTCTACTATCCGGGCGATGACGGTAACGCAGAGCGATGTGCTTCGTTCTGTGCTCCAGTCTGTGCTCCTGACACAAGGCGATGGCGGCCTTGTTGTCTACGTACAGAACTGGAGGAGAACTAGGCCGCTCTCCCAAGTCAGTCAGCAGGTAGGTGAGCCAGCGTAACTCCTGTGCAGCCATGGCTCCTGCGTAGATCTCAGCCTCACAACTGGAGCTGAGAACAGAAGACGAGCGGGTAGACCGCCAAGAAACAGAGCCGGAGCCAAGGCTGAAAGTGTAACCCTATGACGACCGCTGCGTAGCCAAGTCGTCAACCCAAGACGCGTCTGAGTGTCCAGTGAGGACAACTGAACTCCGTCCTCCAAGCACGAGCCCCATGCCCTATATACTACACAACTAGCGTAACACCCTCTTAGCGGCCTCCCAGTGCTCTGGTCGGTGTCTCCCGGGCGCAACGTAGCATGGTAGGAAGCTAAGAGGGTACGTAAGGTCAGGTCGAGTGCAGGTGATCAGGTACATGAGGCAGCCCACAAGCTCTAGATACGGGCCACTCGGCTCTACAGACTCGTCCGAAGGTGGAGCTGAGAGCGAGTGACCGGTAGGCAGAGGAGTGGATTGTGGTGAGGAGAACTGGAAGCCGAAGCGCTGAAGGATCTGCTGCACCATGTGTGACTGAGTCAGGGTGATGGTGCGCCGTGCTCTGTCACGGGTGATCTGCAAGCCAAGGTAACTGCGCAGCTCACCCAGGTCTGTGCACGTGTGTCTCTTCTGCAACTCCGACTTCACAAGGGCCAGTGCCTCAGTGTCAGCAGTGGCAAAAACCAAGTCGTCGATGTACACGAGGATGTAGAACGGCGGCAGCGAAGTGTCGGTGCGCACAAACAGAAACGGGTCAGCAGTCGAAGGAGCAAACCCGAGAGCCGCAAGTGTCGTCCTCAGTGTGTCGTGCCACTCACGAGGTGCCTGGCGAAGACCGTAGACTGGCCGCCGGAGGCTCCACTGGGTACCAGCAGGAAACGACCTAGTGAAGCCAGGTGGGCGGCGCAGCTAGATCTCCTCGTGCAGGCTGCCCTGTAAGAACGCTGTGCTGAAGTGAAGAGAGTGAAGCTCGTAGTCACGTTGAGCGGCAACGTGCAGTAGCACCCAAAGAGTGGTCATCTTTGGGGTAGGGGAGAAGGTCTGGAAGAAGTCAACTCCCTATCGCTGACTGAAGCCTCGAGCAACGTAACGAGCCTTGAAGACAGGCGGAGAACCCAGCGGCCGCTTCACCCTGAAAATCCACATGCCATCGACTATGTTCGCCCCAGGAGGGGGAACTGCGTTGACGTAAGTGCCTTTAGACTTCTAGGATGCCATCTCTGCGTCCATGGCTGTCTGCCACTGAGAGGAGTAGGGACCCGTGATCGCCTCTGCGTAAGAGCGCGGGGTCGGGATGTCTAGTGCATCCGGGTCTCCCTCAGGTGCAAGCAGCTAGGCCACGAGATGAGGTACAGCAGCCGCAAGACACTCAAAGTCCTCCTACCTGTCCTCAAGGACGTCCGTGCCAAGAGCACACTCACCCCCGACGGACGGAGGACAGACAGAATCAGACTCAGCAACAAGACTGGCAGCGTAGTCTAGACGACACGCAGCAGCAAAGTCGACAAGCTCAACAACTAAGGCAGACGCAGCAGTGGACTCAAACGACGGGTCAGTAACGAGTGTAGCCAGAAGACGCGTGACTGTGGGGCTAGCAGCACGAACACGGTCAGACTCAGGGTCAGGAAGCTCAGGAAGAGAGGACGCAGGAGGAGACGGCAGCGGGACACGCTGCGGAACAGAGGAAGGACGAAGTGCCATAGTGTGAGTACCTGGCACAGGAGGAGGACGCGGACGCGGGACACGACGAGCACGGCGAACAGTGCGAACAGGGGAGGCAGGGAAAACGGTTGCTGCTGCACAGAGCCTCCAGCTCCAGTACCTCCAGCTCCAGCGCCTCCAGCGCCAGTGCCTCCAGCTCCAGCGCCTCCAACTCCAGCGCCTCCAGCTCCAGCACCTCCAGCTCCAGCGCCTCTAGCTCCAGTGCCTCCAGCTCCAGCGCCTCCAGTGCCAGCGCCTCCAGCAGCTCCAGCACCTCCAGTAGCTCCAGCACCTCCAGCAGCTCCAGCACCCCCAGCTCCAGTGCCTCCAGCTCCAGCACCTCAAGCTCTAGTGCCCCCAGTACCAGTGCGTCCAGCTCCAACGCCTCCAGTGCCAGGGCCTCCAGCTCTAGCACCTCCAGCTCTAGCTCCCGCAGCTCCAGCACCTCCAGAGCTAGTGACTCCAGCTCCAGCAACGCGATTCCGAAGGCGGGTGCGCCGAGCAAACCACTCGCGCTGCCGCTGTGGCGAGAGAGGCTCTCGCTGGCTAGACCGCTGCGGCGAGGCACCCAGAGGACCACGAGCAGACGCAGCACCCCCACGCTCACGCCGCACCCACAGGCTCAGCACCCCCAGACGCAGCACCCCCAGGCTCAGCACCCTCAGACGCAGCACCCCCAGGCTCAGCAACCTCAGGCTCTGTACGCACACGCTCAGCACGCCCACGCTCCGCACGCTCAGGCTCAGCACCCTCAGGCTCCGCACGCTCAGGCTCAGCACCCCCAGGCTCTGCACGCTCAGGCTCAGCACCCCCAGACGCAGTACCCCGAGCAGCACCACCCCCAGCAGCACCAGAGTCACCGGTGATCTCCACAGGCTCAGCCAAGGGAGGCGGGTCGTCCTGAGACACACCTGAAGGAGCAAGACCCTGAGGGGGGAGGGGGTCTACCGGAGGGGGACCTGGAGCGAGGAAGAGCGGCGGGGGGGGGAGAGGGGCAGTGCGGTAGGGGAAGAGACGGTAGAAGGGAGCTGACTCGTCAAACGTCACATCCTGAGGAGACAGAACACGGCGCAAGGTGGGGTGGTAAAACTGCCAGCCAGGCGCGTCAGGGACAAAGCCAAGGAAGACGCAAGGAACGGCGCGAGAGGAGAGCTTGTCCGTGGTGGTATCGCGGACAAAGGCACGAGAACCCCAGACCCGGAACACCGACGCATCGCCAACCTCCCCCATCCAACGCAGTGTAGGCGAGGTCTCCGGCAAGGAGACACGGGGCAAGAGGTTGAGCTGATGCGCAGCGTACCGGACTGCAAACGACCACAGAAAATGGGGGGCAGTCGCATGGATCATGGAGGTACGAGCCACCTCCATGACTAAGCCAATGCGGTGCTCAGCAATCCCATTTTGCTGCGGGGAGGCCGGAAGTGTGAACGACTGGAGGATGCCCTCCCCACGACAAAAGTCCCGCAAGAGGTCGGAGGAAAACTCACCACCTCTGTCAGAGTGCAGACGCAAGACAGGAAGGTCCGTGCGGAACCGCTCGTGGAGCTGGAGACGGACAGTGCAGATCCAAGGGATCAAGACATCAGGGACGTCTCCCTTGCTGCGCAAGGGGAAGACCGTGGTGTACCGCGAGTAGTCGTCAACAACCAGCAGAAAGTACCGCTCGCGGCCCTGTCCCTGGACGCGGGCTGGGCCCCATACGTCCATGTGGAGGGTCTGCAGGGGAGCAGTCGTCGGGGGAAACGAGGAGGAGTGAGGAGCGGCGCGCTGCCGCCCCTCGACGCAAGGAATGCAGGGCGGGGCAGGCGAGGGTGGGAGGGGAGGCAGAGACCTGGGAAGACCAGAGACAAGGAGGCGGGAGTGCATGCCACGGAGGCGTGGCAGGGAAGGGTGACCAAGGCGGTGGTGCCAAAGGAGAGTCTGGTGCGACAGGCGACGACACTCGCAGGAGGCTGCTACCTGACCTGACGCTGACACCTGAGCAGACGCAGCTACCGGAGGAGGCGCAGTGGTCAGTGTGTACAGACTAGACCAAGGCCGACGGGTGAACGTGGCCAGGTGACGGCCAGTCCGGGAGCACGTGCAGATCGCCACACGCTGGCCTCCAGGGGTAAAGGTATCAACCCATGCATCCTGAAGGACTGCATTACTCACCAAGTTCGTCAAGAACGAGGGGAGGTGGAGACCTGAGACGGAACCGCCAGACACTGGAGAACAGTGGAGGAACGTGCATGCATTGGGCCCCCAGAGGGGTTAGCTAGTGAGACTGCAACGGGTCTAGGGAGTGGTGTGACTGTGGTACTGTCGCGAAAGAAACAGCGAGAAGCACCTGAGTCAAGCGTGAAGGTGTGCAAGGCCTCAGCAAGCGCAGTACCAAAGAGAGCAGACTCACTAGCACCTAGAGCAGCAGCCTCTATACCAGGGTCGGGCGGCACACACAAGTAACAGTCACCCTCAGCACTAACAGTCAAAGCATACATGCCAGCAAGGATAGCGTCATAGTCAAGAGCAAAGATATCAACACCAGACCTAAGCAGCTCTGCCCGGCGGGAAATCTCTGCCTCATCGCCAAACTCAGTGCGCCAAGCGTCGTCTAGGCGGGAGAAGCAGTGGTGCTGGGTGGTCACCTGTGCGAATGACGTACGGGCAGCGAGCACTACCCCCAGACGCCCCACGCTGAGCGTACCACTCACGAAGCTGCTGGGGGGTGAGGGTCTCACGTGGACGCCGCTGGTGCTGCCGCTGCAATGAGCCCGACCACCACCACTGCCGCCGCCACCACTCCCACTGCCGCCACCACCGCCGCCACCACTCCCATTGCCGCCACCACCGCGCCCACCACTCCCACTGCCGCCACGACCACCACCACCGCCCCCACCGCTGCTGCTACCACCGCCACCGACGCCCCCACCCCCACAACCACTCCCCCCGCCACCTCCGCCACCTCCAGCGCCTCCACCGCCTCCACTACTACCCCCCCCGCCGCCACCTCCACCACTCTTGCCTCCCTTGCCCTTGCCGCTGCGGCGCTTCCCACTAGGAGCAGAAGCAGCACCGACCTCCTCAGCACCAAGGAAGTCGACAGCAGCAGCAGAGGCACGCGGTGAATCAGAGTGTGAGTGCACGCGGTGAATCAGAGTGTGAGTGCACGCGGTGAATCAGAGTGTGAGTGCACGCGGTGAATCAGAGTGTGAGTGCACGCGGTGAATCAGAGTGTGAGTGCACGCGGTGAATCAGAGTGTGAGTGCACGCGGTGAATCAGAGTGTGCGTGCACGCGGTGAATCAGAGTGTGAGTGCACGCGGTGAATCAGAGTGTGAGTGCACGCGGTGAATCAGAGTTTGCGTGCACGCGGTGAATCAGAGTGTGAGTGCACGCGGTGAATCAGAGTGTGCGTGCACGCGGTGAATCAGAGTGTGCGTGCACGCGGTGAATCAGAGTGTGAGTGCACGCGGTGAATCAGAGTGTGAGTGCACGCGGTGAATCAGAGTGTGAGTGCACGCGGTGAATCAGAGTGTGAGTGCACGCGGTGAATCAGAGTGTGAGTGCACGCGGTGAATCAGAGTGTGAGTGCACGCGGTGAATCAGAGTGTGAGTGCACGCGGTGAATCAGAGTGTGAGTGCACGCGGTGAATCAGAGTGTGAGTGCACGCGGTGAATCAGAGTGTGAGTGCACGCGGTGAATCAGAGTGTGAGTGCACGCGGTGAATCAGAGTGTGAGTGCACGCGGTGAATCAGAGTGTGAGTGTGAATCAGAGTCTAACCACCACATTTTGCCCAAACCCTTAGCCCACAACCAGCTAGAGCAAAGTACCACAGCCACCTATACAATCAACAGGGATGAGCGCAGAAAATGCCAGGCTAGGGGGTCACCCAGCCGGAGATGAGATGCCAGGGTCTCATGTGCAGGACGACGGGGGAGACGTTCGGGGAGGCTTAGGCAACGTTGGTCTAAGAAGCGATGACATGGGGATGGGAATGCATGCGGCAGGGTTGGGGGGGGTTCTGCATGGGAGTGGGGACAGGAGGAGGGATTGGTGGTGTGGGCAGGGGAGTAGGGACTGGAAGAGGGATTGATGGTGTGGGCAAGGGAGTGGGGACTGGAGGAGGGATTGGTGGTGTGGGCAAGGGAGTGGGGACTGGTGGAGGGATTGGTGGTGTGGGCGTGCAAGTGGGGGCTGGAGGAGGGATTGGTGGTGTGGGTAGGAGTGGGGACTGGTGGAGGGATTGGTGGTGGGGGCATAGGAGTGGGGACTGGTGGAGGGATGGGTGGTGTGGCCGTGCAAGAGGGGACTGGAGGAGGGATTGGTGGTGTGCGCAGGGGAGTGGGGACTAGTGGAGGGATTTGTGGTGTGGGTAGGGGAGTGGGGACTGGAGGAGGGATTGGTGGTGTGGGCATGCAAGTGGGGACTGGTGGAGGGATTGGTGTTGGGCAGGGGAGTGGAGACTGGTGGAGGGATTGGTGGTGTGGGCAGGGGAATGGGGAGTGGAGGAGGGATTGGTGGTGGGGGTATGGGAGTGGGGACTAGAGGAGGGATGGGTGGTGTGGGGGTGCAAGTGGGGACTGCTGGAGGGATTGGTGGTGTGGGCAGGGGAGTGGAGACTGGTGGAGGAATTGGTGGTGTGGGCAAGGGAGTGGGGACTGGAGGAGGGATTGGTGGTGGGGGCTGTAATGGGGTAGCCAATATGGGGTACAACCCTGTTAGGGTTAGTACTTGTGCCATTCCTGCTGCTAGTTTCTAACATGGTTTCAGAGCAGGTGCTGTTCAAGGACTGTCTTCGTTAGGGCCCACCGATCGTTCGTGCCCGTAGCGCTGCCCCACCCGTTGCCCTGCCTTGCCCTGCCCTGCCCTGCGTCGCGCCGCCCTGTGCACGCCCTGCCCGCGTCGCGCGTCCCGCGTACGCCCTGCCCTACCCGTCGCGCGGCCCGCGCCCGCCCTGCCCCGCGTACCGCTGCCCGCGCGCGCCTTCCCCTGCGTCGCGCCGCCCCGCTCACGCCCTGTCCTGCCCGCGCTTCGCTCGTACGCCCTGCCCTACCCGTCGCGCGGCCCGCGCACGCCCTGCCCCGCGTCGCGCTGCCCGCGCCCGCCTCCCCCTTCGCCGTGCAGCCCTGCATACGCCCTGCCCTGCCCGCGCGCCGCCCTGCTGGTCGCGAGCTGCCGACTTTCTGCCCACGCGCAGCCTTGCGCACGCTGCCCTGTACAGACCCACGCGCCGCCTCACCTGCGCACCGCCCTTTTGCAGCCCGTGTCAACGGGAGTTGTGTTTGCCCCGTCCTCGCTTGGGCGGAGCCGACCTCGTGGTCGGGTGTGCGGGGGGGAACAGCCGACCTGCAGCAGTGGGTACAGGGGCCACTGCAAGGGCGTTGACCTGGGGGGTAGCCTGGCTGGAGGGCGCCGAGCAGGTGGACGCCGCCCTTGGCGTTTGGGCGGCGTCCTGGGCGCCTGCACGGCGTCCTGGGCGCCTGGACGCCGACTTGGGCGTCTGCTCGGCGTCCTGGGCGCCTGGACGCCGACTTGGGCGTCTGCTCGGCGTCGTGGGAGGCTAGACGACAACCTTAACGCCAGGACGCCAACCTTGACGCCAGGACGCCGACCTTGGGATGCCGGGTTTGGTGTAGCCGGCGACCGACTGGGCTGGACGACCAGGCGGGGTTGCCCGGTCGTCCGGGATACCAGGGCGACGTGTGCGAAAGTGGTATCCACGGGGGTGGTATCCCGAGGTTTCTGCGAAGGCGACCTCGGGGGTGGTATCCCGAGGTCGACGTGGCTGGCGGGCGCAGTTGCTAGCGTGGAGTCAGCTAGGCCTCTGCGCTGTGCTCGTGACGAGGTGTGGAGCACCAACCAGCTCCACGCACCCGCGAAGCAGATGCACCGTTGTCCTGCGGGTGCAACGCTGTGCAGCCGACTTGCTGCAGCGTTGGCGCACCGCAGACTTGCGACGTTGGCAAGCCGCTACTTTGCTGCGCTGGAGCGGTGCGAGCTCTGCTGCGCTGGACCGCGGTCGACCATGCTGCGCTGGAAGTCGACCAGCAGCTCTGATGTAGCCTTGCATGCCAATGTTGTTGCCATCATTCTGAACCTCATTGTTGTGAACTTTTGCTAGTGAAACTCTTGCCAGTTTTCCCCGTGAACCAGCAAGTAGTGAGAGCACAAGTGAACGACTAAGGAACGAACGCAGAGATCACTCCTACCCCGTGCCTAGCCCGTAGTCTAGCTCCCGTTGACAGAGTTATCTCCGCAGCCCGCATGCCGCCCTTGCCTGCCCACGCACCGCCCTTTCCAGCCCGCGAGCTACCGTTCTGCCCGCGCGCCGCTCTGCCCTGCCTGCGCACTGCACTGCCCTGCCCTACTATGCTCGCTATGGCCACTCTCAGTGTTCTTGAGTTCGATCCTGATGGCCGTCCCATCCAGTTCGATGCGTGGCTTGAGGACCTATAGCTGTACTTAATGAGCAATTCTAAAAACGACGTTTCGCTGTTTGACCACACGTCTGGAGCCTCTCTCGCCTCTTTCGACATAGCTGACAGTACGACTCGCTCACAGTGGCTTACCCGTGACGCTGCCGCTCGCCTAGCCGTTCGCAACCACCTGCCGTTAGCCGAACGCGCTCACTTTGGCCAGCACAAGACTTCTAAAGCCCTGTACGACGCTGTAGTCGCTCGTTACTCCTCCCCTGCCACTGCTACTCTCGGTCGTCTCATGCTGCCCTACCTGTTTCCCGAGCTGTCCTCCTTTGCCACCGTAGAGGACCTCATCACCTACCTTTGCACTAGTGACACTCGCTACCGCACAGCACTTAAAAGCCGAGTTCCTCCCCAAGAACGAGCCCCCGATTTACATCACTCTCTACTTTATTGTCACTCGCCTCCCTGACTCTCTTCGCGCTGTCAGAGACCACTTTCTCGCCCTTGATCCCCCCGACCTCACTATCGACCTGCTCGAGAAGCACCTCCTTGCAGCTGAGACTAGCGTAGTCGCTGTAGGTGCTACTCGTGGCACTCCTCGCTCTCCCTTCTTTGAGGGGTGCTCCCCCTCCCCTCTTGCCCCCTCTGTTTGCGGGCTGGATTTGAACTCGCACCCAACAAGCACCAACAAACCTTTGTTACCGACTACAACACCTTTGGTGTTGCTAGTTTGGCATTTTAGGTTGTTGGGGATTGTTGTAGGGCGAGGGTTGGGATGGTAGGGTTTGCCAAACTCGTCACTTTTCAGATCTGAACTCTTGCTTAAGCCATTCCTAGATCTAATCCATGGCTGCCAAGTAATTCCGCCAGGATACCCCGTCGCACTTAAATCGCGATAGCGATCGGCCTAGATCTTGGTTGAAGGCGTGCTTTACCATTCTGGAAATTAGAGATTAAGACCTTTCCAACGCGTACCTGCTCATATTTTTAGGTTACGTGAGCTGCACGCAATGGTTCGCCGAAGTCGGCAGACTTAATCTCTTGTTACGCTCTCCAGATTCGCGTACTTTCCATCAACCCCCCCGCCGACACCATGTCCACTCGCCTGCCCAAAGTGTGTTCCCGCAGCCCGTGACGGAACGCCCCTCACACCACTCCCAATGCCAAACCCTTTGCTGCCACTTGTCCCATACCTTCCAAAGCCTGTCCCACTTCCCACCCCTAAACCAGCACCACCAAACTGGAACGCGCCAGCGCCAGGCCTGCCGCGTCCACCTCCTCCACCCCTGATACCACCGCCAGAAGCATGGCCAAAAGCAGCACTCCCCTGCCCCCCCTCGTCACCCATGCTGCCCGGCCCTCTCTGAATGTTCTGCCGAACACATCAGCGTTCGGAGCATTCATGCCGCCTGTCCGTGCGAGTCTGCCACCGCTCCAGCTGTAACTTGCTGTGCCGGCACCCGGAATGCCGAAGCCACTTGGCGGGTGCGTGGCGCCACTGGCGCCTCCAGTTGCATGTCCTTGTCGTGCATTTTTGGCCATTCATCGTCCATCCCTGCCCACCTAAAAAACGTATGCTCTCGCCCCAGCATAGGTTGAACGCGCGAAAATGGGTGGGCGTGCATCGGGTGGAGGGGGGACACTCGAAGCCGGAGGGACCTCGGGGCCAAAGAGGTAAAGCGCCATTTCCGAGAAGTCGTGTCTGCATGCTGCGACGAATGCATTCCACTTCGTCTCGCAGCGGCACTTCACTAGTCTTTTAAGAAATGCTTGCGCCTTTTCCTTGAACCGCCGCAGATTCTGCTCAAGGTGCCACACGCAAAAGTAATGCGGGATGTGACTTGGCATAACCTCACGAGCTGCTGGAACCAAACCCTTGCCCCTGTCGTTGATCATCGAGGCATTCTCGCGCTGAGTCCACTCTGGGAATCCATCAAATCAATGAAATGTTTGAGAAACCACGACCATGCCTCCTTGTTCTCCGATTCCACAAGCCCCCAAGCTAGCAGCAAGACCTTTTGGTTGACATCGAGCGTGACCGCGACCAGCAGCACCGCCTTCTGCACGCTAATGAGATGAGTCCCGTCAAAAGGAGTGACCGGGCGCCAGAATCATAGTGCATGAACCGCTGCTGATGGCCGGACAAAGAAGCGGTGAAAGCATCCACCAAGGGTGTCCAGATGCACTTTCACCTCTGGATCAATAACACGGAAGCGGTCAACGAGCCATGGAACATGGCAAAAAGTCTCCTTCCAGCCCCCAAACTTCTCCCTGATGACGTATTCTCGCAGTCGCCATGCCTGCCTGTAATTGATTTCAAACCCCCCTAATCCCTCCATGAGCCGCATCAGTTGGATTTGCGGGACGAAGGGTTCTTCCCGAACCATGTTGCCATAAGCTCGCAGAAGTACTGGTAACTTGTTCGCAATCCCTGTTGCGTATTCCTGCTGCACCTCCATCCGGCATGTATGAGCCTCCGGCGGTACGAGGGACGTAA